GGGATCAGGAAATTGGGGCTCAGGAAATTGGGGCTCAGGGAATTTGGGATCAGGAAATTTGGGGCTCAGGAAATTGGGGCTCAGGAAATTTGGGATCAGGAAATTGGGGCTCAGGAAATTGGGGCTCAGGGAATTTGGGCTCAGGAAATTGGGGCTCAGGGAATTTGGGATCAGGAAATTGGGGCTCAGGGAATTTGGGATCAGGAAATTTGGGGCTCAGGAAATTGGGGCTCAGGAAATTTGGGATCAGGAAATTGGGGCTCAGGAAATTGGGGCTCAGGGAATTTGGGCTCAGGAAATTGGGGCTCAGGGAATTTGGGATCAGGAAATTTGGGCTCAGGGAATTTGGGATCAGGAAATTGGGGCTCAGGGAGTCGGGCGATGCCCACAAAAGCCGCGTCCTGGCGGGATTTGAGGAGCCGCAGCCGATCCGCGCGCTGCCGCGGAGCCCGAGCCTCCTCCTGGATCCGCTGGAATTCCTCGGCGCCGATGATGAGCGAGGCCGGGGACCGATCCCTGGGAATTCTGGGGGACACGGACCGGGATCAGGGACACGGGGACAGCTCCTGGTGTCCACGGTGTCCCCAAATCCCACCGGTGTCCCCAAATCACCTCTGAGTCCCCAATTACTCCACTGAGTCCCCAAATCCCCCTTGAGTCCCTGAGGGTCCCCAAATCTCCTCTGGGGTCCCCAAATCCCCCCGAGCCTCACACGAGCTCCCGGATCACGTCCTTGGTGAAGACCCGGATGGTTTTGGGTTTGTCCTGGGGTGAGGGCACCGGGCCTGGGGCGCTCCTCACGTCCCGGAGCTGCACGACGGGGCTGGAGTGGTCTGAAACCTGTGGGAAAGGACTGGTGAGACCCCAAAATCTTCCCACAAATCCCAACAAAATCCCATAAAAATCACCTCAAAATCCCCCACAAAATCCGCCAAATTTTAGGGTGAGATTTTGAGCTGAGAGGCGCCCAAAACGGCCCCAAATTCCCCCAAAATGGCTCCAGCTTCACCTTCCTCGCCTCCTCCCCCTCGTCCTGCTGCTCCTGGTCCTTGTCCTTGTCCTTGTCCTTGTCCCTGTCCTGCTGCTCGTCCCTGCCCAGCTCCGCGCTCCGCACCCGCCGCAGCTGCTCCTGTGGGGACAGGGGACATCTCGGGGACATCCCAGGGCATTCCCGGGGACATTTTCAGGGATATTTCCAGGGGACGTTCTCAGGGACGTTCCTGGGGATGTCCCGGGGCATTCCCAGGATGGGGAAAATCAGGAGCGGGAGAATCGGGATGAGGAAAAACGGAATCGGGAAAAGCGCGGCCCAGAAAGGAGCGATCGGGAAAAGAGGGATTGGGAAAATCGGGATGGAAAAAAAAGGGTTGGGAAAAGGAGGAGCAGGAAAAGGGAGTGGGAAATTCAGAATCAGGAAATTCGGGATGGGGAAAAGCGGGATCAGGAAAAGGAGGAGGGGGGAAATCGGGATCGGGAAGTTTGGAATGGGGAAAAGAAGGATAGGAAAAGGAGGAGGGGGGAATCAGGATCGGGAAAAGGGAATGGGAAATTCGGGATCAGGAAATTCGGGATGGGGGAAAAGAGGGATCAGGAAAAGGAGGAGCAGGGGAAATCGGGATCAGGAAAAGCGAGTGGGAAATTCAGGTTCAGGAAATTTGGGATGGGGAAAAGCGGGATCAGGAAAAGGAGGAGCAGGGAAATCGGGATTGGGAAAAGCGAATGGGAAATTCGGGATCAGGAAATTCGGGATGGGGAAAAGCGGGATCAGGAAAAGGAGGAGTAGGGAAATCAGGATTGGGAAAAGGGAATGGGGAATTCAGGTTCAGGAAATTTGGGATGGGGAAAAGCGGGATCAGGAAAAGGAGGAGCAGGAAAATCGGGATCAGGAAGTTTGGAATGGGGAAAAGCGGGATCAGGAAAAGGAGGAGCAGGAAAATCGGGATCGGGAAAAGCGGGAAAACAGGGAAGAGATTGGGATCAGGAAATTGGGGCTCAGGGAATTTGGGATCAGGAAATTGGGGCTCAGGGAATTTGGGCTCAGGAAATTGGGGCTCAGGGAATTTGGGCTCAGGAAATTGGGGCTCAGGGAATTTGGGCTCAGGAAATTGGGGCTCAGGGAATTTGGGCTCAGGAAATTGGGGCTGGGGTTGGGGACACGGGACCCCGGGGTGTCCCCGGGAGGGTTTTGGGGGACACGCGACCCCGGGGTGTCCCCGGGATGGCGGGGGGCGGACCCCGGGCGGGGGCGGCTGTCGCGTGTCGCCATCGGTGGATGCGGATGTCGCGACTGTCGCCGGGCCCGGCCGTGGGGAGCGGCGGCTGTCGCGAGATGTCCCCAACTGCCCCCGGCTCGAGCGGCGCTGTCCCCAACGTCCCCAACAGCCCCGGGGGGATGGGGGATTGGGGGGGTCCTGGGAAGGACGGGGTGAGACCCCCAAAATCCCCCCAAAAATCCCCCCAAAATCACCCCAAAACCCCTCTACGTTTCCCCAAAATCTCTGCAAATCCCCCAAAAATCCCCCTAACCCCATCAAAATCCCTACCCCGGAATTCCCCCAAATCACACACAATTTTTATTCCTTAATAATTGATAACATTAGGTAATATTTTCGTCCTGTCTGTCCCCGTGCCTTTCTGTCCCTGTGTCCTGGGTGTCCCCTCAGGGTTAGGGTCCAGCTGCAGCAGCCCCCACCCCAACCCTCAGCTCACCCCAAAAACACCAATTTTACAGGTAGGTGTTGGGGGCTGAGCAGTTTTTAAGATATTTTCGTCCTGTCTGTCCCCGTGCCTTTCTGTCCCTGTGTCCTGGGTGTCCCCTCAGGGTTAGGGTCCAGCTGCAGCAGCCCCCACCCCAACCCTCAGCTCACCCCAAAAACACCAATTTTACAGGTAGGTGTTGGGGGCTGAGCAGTTTTTAAGGTTTTTTTTTTTTTTTTTTTAGGGGTTTTTTAGGCTTTTTGGTTTTTTTTTTTTTTAATTTTTTAAAGAATTCTCCGTGAATGTTTGGATACTTTCACACCTTCTAAAAGCTTTTTTAGGGTATTTTAAGGGCTTTCCACCTAGTAATATTTAGAATTAATTTGCCATTGTATCAGTTTCAATGCCCCATTTCCTCATTTTAAGAGGCTCGCATGAAGCTCTGCCTTTTTCAGCATTTTAAGGCTTTAAAACTGCATTTCAGGGCACTTCCTTCTGTGCCAAAATAGAGAAGGGAGAGCCTGGCACGTTCTTAACCCTTACACTGCCAACAGCTCCAGGCACACTGCAAAGGACATCCCAAAAAAACCCGTGATTTCTTCCACAGCTTTCTCCTTGGAACCAGCCCTAGGCCTTGGCTGATTTCCTGCCTAGGGCTAGGATTAGGGCCAGGATTAGGGTTAGGGTTAGGGTTAGGGTTAGGATTTAGGGTTAGGGTCAGGGTTAGGGTTGGGGTTGGGGTTAGGGTTAGGGGTTAGGGTCAGGGTTAGGGTTAGGGTTGGGGTCGGGGTTAGGGTTAGGGTTGGGGTCGGGGTTAGGGTCAGGGTTAGGGCTAGGGGTTAGGGTTAGGGGTTAGGGTTTAGGGTTGGGTTAAGGTTAGGGCTAGGATTAGGGTTTAGGGTTAGGGTTAGGGTTAGGGTTAGGGTTAGGGTTGGGGTTAGGGTTAGGGTTAGGGTTTGGTTAGGGTTAGGGTTAGGGTTAGGGTTATGGTTAGGGTTGGGGTTAGGGTTAGGGTTAGGGTTTGGGTTTGGGTTTGGGTTTGGGTTTGGGTTAGGGTTAGGTTAGGGTTTGGTTAGGGTTAGGGTTAGGGTTAGGGTTAGGGTTTTGAAACCCACAAAGCCCAGGGCTCCAGGTGCACTGCAGCTGCAAAGGGCATCCCAAGGGGAGCACAAAGCACAACATGCCTTCCTTCAGAGCTTTTTCCCTGGAACCACCCTTCGCCCACGAGGGCCAGAGGCAAACTCACATCAGGGAGCTGACACAACTGCAGTTGCAAATGTCCTTTATTCTGCTCAGCCGTGCAGGCACTGTGGGCAGGGGCATGTGCTCCCTGTCCCCACCCTCGTCCCACCCCTCGTGCTGTCCGTGCCCCTGTTCTCCTCCCGCTCTCTCACGGCCTCTTGGCGGTGCTCTCGATGAACGCCTCCAGCACAAAGATGGTCTCATCCACCTGGTTCTCACTGGCGTCGATCCTGGGGGGCAGACAGCGACGGGCAGCCCCCCCACGAGGTCCCCACCGCCCATCCCCCACGCCTGCCCCCCCGTGGGGAGCGGCGGCTGTCGCGAGATGTCCCCAACTGCCCCCGGCTCGAGCGGCGCTGTCCCCAACGTCCCCAACAGCCCCGGGGGGATGGGGGATTGGGGGGTCCTGGGAAGGATGGGGTGAGACCCCAAAATCCCCCCAAAAATCCCCCAAAATCCCCCCAAAAAATCCCCCAAAATCCCCCCAAAAATCCCCCAAAATCCCCCCAAAAATCCCCCCAAAATCACCCCAAAACCCCTCTACGTTTCCCCAAAATCTCTGCAAATCCCCCAAAAATCCCCCTAACCCCATCAAAATCCCTACCCCGGAATTCCCCCAAATCACACACAATTTTTATTCCTTAATAATTGATAACATTAGGTAATATTTTCGTCCTGTCTGTCCCCGTGCCTTTCTGTCCCTGTGTCCTGGGTGTCCCCTCAGGGTTAGGGTCCAGCTGCAGCAGCCCCCACCCCAACCCTCAGCTCACCCCAAAAACACCAATTTTACAGGTAGGTGTTGGGGGCTGAGCAGTTTTTTGGTTTTTTTTTTTTTTTTTTTTTTTTTGGTGTGGGAGTTTTTAAAGAATTCTCCGTGAATGTTTGGATACTTTCACACCTTCTAAAAGCTTTTTTAGGGTATTTTAAGGGCTTTCCACCTAGTAATATTTAGAATTAATTTGCCATTGTATCAGTTTCAATGCCCCATTTCCTCATTTTAAGAGGCTCGCATGAAGCTCTGCCTTTTTCAGCATTTTAAGGCTTTAAAACTGCATTTCAGGGCACTTCCTTCTGTGCCAAAATAGAGAAGGGAGAGCCTGGCACGTTCTTAACCCTTACACTGCCAACAGCTCCAGGCACACTGCAAAGGACATCCCAAAAAAACCCGTGATTTCTTCCACAGCTTTCTCCTTGGAACCAGCCCTAGGCCTTGGCTGATTTCCTGCCTAGGGCTAGGATTAGGGCTAGGGTTTGGGTTAGGGTTAGGTTAGAGTTAGGGTTAGGGTTAGGGTCAGGGTTAGGGTTGGGGTTAGGGCTAGGATTAGGGTTAGGGTTATGGTTAGGGTTGGGGTTGGGGTTGGGGTTAGGGTTGGGGTGCTCCCTGTCCCCACCCTCGTCCCACCCCTCGTGCTGTCCGTGCCCCTGTTCTCCTCCCGCTCTCTCACGGCCTCTTGTTGGTGCTCTCGATGAACGCCTCCAGCACAAAGATGGTCTCATCCACCTGGTTCTCACTGGCGTCGATCCTGGGGGGCAGACAGCGACGGGCAGCCCCCCCACGAGGTCCCCACCGCCCATCCCCCACGCCTGCCCCCACCCCCCCTCACTTGTTGACGTTGCGTTTCAGGTTTTCCAGCTGCTGCCTCTCGGGACCCGTGATCATCTCCTCCACCTCGTGCAGCTGCGCTGCCTCGGCCCCCGTGGCCTGCATGGAGGCCAGGATGGCCTCCACCCGCTGGGACTTCTCCAGGAGCCTCCTAGGAGGGAACACGGCCACGGGGAGGTGGCAGTGGCGGCTCTGTGGCCACCGCCAGGCCGCCCCCAGGCACGGAGCTCACTTGTTCTCGCGCATCTCGTGCTGCCGCCGCTCCATCAGGTTAGCCACGCTCTGCGGAGGAAACAGCCCACCGCCGCATCCTTAGCAAAAACATCCTTAGCTGGGATGTCTCTCCTGTTCTAGCTGGGAAGCCTCAGGAAAGAAATGTAAATAAAAACCACCTGATGGCTGTGGAGTGTGGTCTGGGCATTGTTTATCAAAAGGTGCAGTTTGGATTGGTCCGTGTGAGTTGTTTGTGCTTAATGAGCAATCAAAGATCCAGCTCGGACTCTCTGAGAGTCACGAGATTTGTTATCACTCCTTTCTTTCCTGTCCAGCCTCCTGATGGATCCTTGCTCTCTATTCTTTTTGGTATAGTTTTAGTATAGCATTATAATATAATATAATATAATATAATATAATATAATATAATATAATATAATATAACATAATAAATATAATATATTATATTATATTATAATGTAATATCATATAACATAGTATAATATAATATAATATATTATAATATCATATCATATCATATCATATATCATAAATACAATATCATATCATATCAATCATAAATGTAACATAAATTATATAATATAATATAATATAATATAACATAATAAATATAATATAATATAATATATTATATTATATTATAATATAATATAATATAATATAATATATTATATTATAATATTATATCATATCATATCATATATCATAAATATAATATCATATCATATCAATCATAAATATAACATAAATTATATAATATAATATAATACAATATAAATATAATACATATCATATAATATAAATATCATATCATATATAATATCATATCATTAATATAATATAATATAATACAATACAATACAATATAAATTGTGGCACCAGCAAGGAGGGGGCTGTGACACCCGGACATGGAGGCTGGAATGGTTCTCCTGGATTCCCTGGGAATTCCTGCACGGACAGACCAGGATCTGTGATCCCTGGGGCTCACCTTGTAGCATCTGTGAAGCAGCATCCGAGCAGCAGCCATCGTGTTCACCGTGTACAGGTAAAAGGTGCGGGATGGAGCATGGTCTGGGGTCTTGGGAATCTCCTGTGGAAGGGCACAGGGCTGGTGGGAACACAGTGGGGGTATCCCCTTCCCTAGAGGTGTCCCTGTGTTCCCTCCCCCTCCCTAAAGGGCTGCCCATGCCCAGATTCCAGGTGGGATCACCTGGAAGTGCCCAGCACCTGGCCAGCTGCCACACCTGGGCAACCTCTGGGATCCCAGAGCTGGGATCATCTCCTGTGGAAGGGCACAGGGATGGTGGAAACCAAATGGAAGTATCCCCTTCCATAGGGAGGAACCTGTGCTCCCTTCCCAAATGGTTCCCTGTGCACAAATTCCAGGTGGGATCACTTGGCCAGCTGCCACACCTGGGCAACCTCTGGGATCCCAGAGCTGGGATCATCTCCTGTGGAAAGGCACAGGGATGGTGGGAACTGAGGGGAACTACCTCCTTCCCCAGGGAGGAACCTGTGATCCCTCCCCTTAGGATTCCCCCTCCCTAAATGTGCCTAAATTCCAGGTGGGATCACTTGGAAGTGCCCATCACCTGGCCAGCTGCCACACCTGGGCAACCTCTGGGATCCCAGAGCTGGGATCATCTCCTGTGGAAGGGCACAGGGATGGTGGAAACCAAATGGAAATATCTCCTTCCCCACGGAGGAACCTGTGCTCCCTTCCCAAATGGTTCCCTGTGCCCAAATTCCAGGTGGGATCACCTGGAAGTGCCCATCACCTGGCCAGCTGCCACACCTGGGCAATCCCTGGCATCCCTCACCTGCAAGGTCACCAGGTTCTCTGAGAGCATCCTGTAGAGCATGTCCTTGGCTTCCTTGGCTGGGATCATGGCAAAATCCTCCACCTGCTTCTGCTCCAGGTGCTTCTTGCGCAGGAGCAGCCGGAATATCCGGGCGCAGCGGGAGCCGAACCTGGGCAGGAGGGGTGGGATGAGGGAGGGATGTGGGAAGGGGCTGGGGGCAGCCCAGGAGGAGAATCCAGGTCCCCTTTGTCACCTCTCCTCCACGATGGACTCCAGCGTGGCCGTGGCCAGGGACACCAGGGCTTTGTGCAGGTCTGGAGGGGTTGAGGTCAAGGAGAATTCCACAGAAGTCCCCCCAGAAATCAAGCAAAGTTACCCCAAATCTGCCCAAAATCCCTACCCCAAAATGCCTCCAAAACATCCCTAAATCCCCCCCAAAATATCCCCCAAATCTCAAGCAAAGTCACTCCAAATCTGCCCAAAATCCCTCCCAAAACATCCCTAAATCCCCCCCAAAATATCCCCCAAATCAACCCCCAAATCTCAAGAAAAATCACTCCAAATCTGCCCAAAATCCCTCCCAAAACATCCCTAAATCCCCCCCAAAATCCTCAAAATTCCCCACAAAATATCCCCCAAATCTCAAGCAAAGTCACCCCCAAATCTGCCCAAAATCCCTCCCAAAAATCCCTAAATCCCTCCCAAAATCCTCAAAATCCCCCACAAAAGATCCCCCAAATCTGCCCAAATTCACTCCCAAAATCCCCCAAATCACCAAAAAACCTCCTGAAAATCACCCCAAAATCCCCCAAATCTGCCAAAAATCCCCCCAAATCCCCCCAAAGGATACTGACAGTGTAGGTGCCCCCTCCACTGTCCCCTGATTTCCCCACAAACTCCAACTGCAGGGAGAAAATATGGATTTTTACTTCAAATTTGGAGTGGGAAAAGTAAGAAGATTTCGAGGAAAAAAATTATCTTTAACTTATAATGACAAGTTTTAACTTAAAATTATAGTTATAACTTTATATAAATTAAATAACTCAAGTATTCTGAAATAACAGGAAGCTGTTAAATACCTTCAATGTCAGTAAAACAGAATGCAGAATATTAATTAATACCTGATCAATAATTTCAATATCTTTGATATCTGTTGAATAACTTTAAAAATCTTCAAGTATCTGTTAAAAACCTTTTTTTAACTCTCAGTAAAAAAATGTTTTAGAGCCAGAGAGAGGAACAAGGGAGGAAAAATGGAATTAAGAGAGGCTGGAAAAGCCCTGGGCTCACCGGATCGTCGGCCAGGAGCGCCAGGTACTGATCCAGCACCTGCTTCCCAATGTTGTACCCAGCCGGAAGAGATCTGAAAATCTAAAAAAAGAAAAAAAACAGATGAAAACAGGGAATGTGGAGGGATTCCAGAGGATTCTGTGCTCCCAGGGACCCACCTCGTTGGAGGAGAGGGGCTGGGTGTGGGAGGCACCCGAGGCCGTGGTCACCTCGCTCATGCGCAGCATCGTGCGCACCACCTCGCTGCTGGTCTGTGCTGGGAAAAGAGGGAATTAGGGGGGAAAGGGGGAATTGGGGGGAAAATGGGGATTGGGGGGAAAAGCAGGAATTGCAGCAGGAGCAGCGGGAATTGCAGCGGAGGCGCAGACCTGGTCCATGCGGCTGGCCACGGCGCTGACCAGAGCCTGGTCACGGAAGTGCTGGTGGAAACGCTCCAGGTTGACCTGCCAGTAAATGCCATCGTCCGGGGGAGCCTGGGGAAAAGGACAAAAATGAGGGAAAATGGGAGGAAAAGAGAGAAATGGGGCAGGGAAAGAGAGAAATGGGGCAGGGAAAGAGAGGGAAATGGGGCAGGAAAAAACAGGGAAATGGGGCAGGAAAAGAGAGGGAATGGGGCAGGAAAAAACAGGGAAATGGGGCAGGAAAAGAGAGGGAATCGGGCAGGAAAAGAGAGGGAATGGGGAAGGAAAAGAGAGGGAAATAGGAAAGGAAAAGAGAGAAATGGGGCAGGGAAAGAGGGAAATGGGCAGGAAAAGAGAGGGAAATTGGGAAGGAAAAGAGAGGGAATGGGGCAGGAAAAGAGAGGGAATGGGGAAGGAAAAGAGAGAAATGGGGCAGGGAAAGAGAGGGAATGGGGCAGGGAAAGAGAGGGAATGGGGCAGGAAAAAACAGGGAAATGGGGAAGGAAAAGAGAGGGAATGGGGCAGGAAGTTAAGGAAGAGCAGACACAAAAGTGACGGATGGGAGCCAGGAAAACGAGGAAAACCAGCCTCGAAAAATGAGGGAAAAGCCACAAAAAATGAGGAAGAAGAGGCACAAAAA